CTGCTCGCTCCTCCTTGGTGCTTCGGGTCTGTTTGAGCTTCCCTTCCTCGGCTTTTAAATTTAGGGGAACAGGAGCGAGGCCCCTTTGGAGCAGGTGGCCCCGCGGCCTTTTCTTCTTGGGCCCAGCGACTCGTCCTGAAGGGCTTGGCAGATTTAGGCTTATTTTATTTATTTGTCCGTTTATTAAAAGCGGGGAAATGGGAGGTTGGGCTGAAGGGTGCTGCTTGGCAGCCGAGAGGTGCCAGGTCGGCTGGAAATTGCAGGGAAGAACACAGGTGATGATGACTTGAATAATAGAGAACTGAAGGGGTGCAGTGATCCACGGCTTAATTTTTACTTCTTGCTAGCACAGTCCTGGATTTTCAGTTCTCTCACCCTCAGCTGAGGCATAATGCTGATCTGGTTTACTGGGGAGTTTTGCCATGAGGTCTTGCGGGCATATGTCTGTACTCTACAGAAAGTTATACCTCTGCGGTTGGTGGAGCCTGGCTGGGCTCAGAAGGCTAAATAGGATTGTATTTGGTTAGCATTTGGATGGGATACCATTAAGAAATCCGAAGGGTTTGGGCCAGGAAGTTTTGCAACATCCCAGAAGGCAGTGGCAGACCGCTTCTGTACTTTTGCCAAGAAATCCCTATGACTGTGTCTGTGGAATCACAAGGGGTTGAGCTCAGCTCAAAGGTTACTTTTATAGAATAATATGAGTCGTAGCATTAGCAATATTCATATGAGGAATTCAGTTGTCAGCCTGCCAATAGCTAAGTCAGGTGTAGGTGGCTGTTCTTGATGTGAATTTCAGTTGAGGGATGTCTGGCCCAAGCAGATCTTGCCTGGAGCATGGGGGATTTTTCTACTTTCATGACAATTATATTATTTCCTGGGCTTTTTCAAGATCTCCTCTCATCACCATGATCTTCAGTGAGGGACCTAGCCCTTATCTTGGGAACTGTGGGTTTAATCATTTATCAGGCCTACTGAATTCAGTAGGAATATAGGGTTGTAACCTTAGGGCTTTAAAGCTATTTTGTGTTTTTCCAAATACTGACTGGAGCAGCTTAATCAAAGGCTTAGAAAAGCTTTTTAATTTTCTTGCCTTTGTACTAGGCCTAGAATTCACTTTTTAAAAAAATGAACAAGTCCTAAAGCTGTAAAACAGTCATTACAATTTTTTGGACACAGTGTTTCTCCTTGCTGAACAGTTGATCATTACCAACCTATACCTGGATGGCTATGTTTGGAAGTTGTTGCTTGCTGCAAAAACAGCTACATGTGTATTTTGTGTGTGTCATAACGTTTGTGATTTCTTTTAGGAAGATAAGAATATAAAATGCCTAAAGAGGAAGACCGGGTAATCCCGGTGAAGGTGGCACTGAGATGCCGCCCGCTCGTTCCTAAAGAAATTTCTGAGGGCTGTCACATGTGTTTGTCTTTTGTCCCTGGAGAACCACAGGTGAGGAAAGATTCACAGCTGGGAGGTGCTGCACACTTTGACTACTGAAATCTTATAGCTCATCTGGGAGCGTCTCACGCTAATGTGAGAAGACAACATTGCACAGTACTGTTCTTCTCTTTCTCCTCCTTTTCTACAGGTGGTTCTAGGCAAGGATAAACCATTCACGTATGATTATGTGTTTGATCCATCAACTGAGCAGGAGGAAGTGTTCAGTACCTGCATTGCCCCCCTTGTAAGGGGTATTTTCTCCGGTAAGGGCCTCTAGAAGCTGAACATTCGGGAGGAATCTTCAGTAGAAAGGACAGTATCCTGGAGGCAAACTTAATCTTTTGTGTTTCCAAAAAGCATGTACTGTATGCTTAGGAATAGCTAACTTCTTAGAAGTGCAATATTTCCAGCTTGGAATCTATTATCTGAACAATATTTATGGTAAATGAGAATACCAGAGCTACAGTCTTGAATCTGTGAGTTTCTGAGCTGGGGTACATCTCCTTTTACCTTCAATAAAGACAAAGGCTGGGAATAAAGTTGGGGAACCCAATCCCGCACTTCTGAAGAGGGTGGCTAGCAAGCTGCTGAAGATCACGCAACTGAGTAAGTGTAGCGCTTTACCTAATAGGTCCTTCAAGATGTAGGTGGTAGAATCATAAAGTCGGAAGGGCTGCACAAGTCATCGAGTCTAACCTCCGGCTTGGTACAAGACCTGCTAAGGCATTTCGGATAGATAGCTATCTAACTCTGCTGGAAGACCTCCACTGAAAGAGAAGATATCCCTTCACGAAGCAGCCAATTCCACTTGCTGGTGGTTCTTGTCATCAGGAATTTGCTGCTCCTATCTAATCTGAATCTGCTTTCCCTGTACTTTTGGCCAATGGCCCTGGTGGGTAATAGAGAATAAGTCCACTCCCTTTTGTGTGTGACAGCCCTTCAATTCTTTGAAAAAGGCTGTCATATCTCATCCCAGTTTTCTCTTCTGAAGGCTACATATACTTGGGTTTCCTGTTCCTAGTTCACCTTCTTAACCACTATGTCACACTGGCTGTTTCTGCCCATTAAACTTGCATTTTGTAAAGATAACTTGGAATAAAACAGCAATCCTGCTGAATGTATTCATTTTCCATCATGGAAATAAAGGCAATCTATTTGGAAGGTCCCAGACAGTCTTCCATTCACAGTTAGATCAGGAGCAGTTTATCCCAGTGAGGTCGCTGCTCACAATAGTCACATTAGCTGGGGATGATGAGGTTTGTCGGCCAATACATCTGGGTAGGCTGCTAGGCCTGGGTCACCAGACTGTAGTTCATTCACTGTAACAGGGAGTGGAAAATAAAATATACTGTAGCTAATGTAATTGTAGCTATATAGCTAACCCGGTATAATATATAAAATATTAGCACCAAGATATGCTTGGGTTATGAACCATGAAGTTTCAAAGCAGTACCTGAATGAGGTAATAGTCAAGATCTGGCAATGCATATGTTGGCCCGTTTTAGGTATCTCAGTTGTGCTGTGAGAACTCGAATGGCCAAGTTCCTGCCTTAAGGAAGTGCCTAAGGGCTATGCAGGTAACCCTAACTTGGTTTTGTGCTTGTCATTACATAGGATACAATGCCACGGTTTTGGCCTATGGGCAGACAGGCTCCGGGAAAACCTACTCCATGGGTGGGGCTTACACCGCTGACCAAGAGAATGATCCCACTGTTGGAGCCATTCCCCGGGTGATAACACTCCTTTTCCAAGAAATGAAACAAAAAGTGGAGTGGCACTTTACCTTGAAAGTCTCCTATTTGGAGGTAGGTTCCATCTTATATTCAAAGCCAAGGCGCCAATCTCCTTATTCAGGTTTCTGAAATCCAAACAGGGCTGTAATTATTAGGACCATTGGTGGCCTCTGAATGGGTTGGGCATTTGAACAGTCAAGAAGGATCTGGCTGACTGGCCATTTGAGTGGGGTATTGAACAAATGAACACTTAACAGTACAATAAAATGTTGTATACCGGTTTCGCATTCCAGCTCCTTGGTCTCAGCCTTGTGGTGGGTTCAGAGGAGATACCTGGGGAGGAGTCTTACCTGGTTAACTGGGAACGGGTTGGGCCTGAGGAAGTGGACAGGGTCCTTAGGACTGTGAGCTCAGCCACCTGTTCTTTAGATCCATGCCTCTCCTGACTGGTTAAAGTGGCCCAGGAGGTGATGTGTGAGTGGGTTCCAGCGATGGTTAATTCTTCTTTGAGTGAGGGGGTTGTTTCTGTACTTCTTAAAGAGGCCTTGATTTGCTCCCTCCTCGAGAAACCATTGCTGGACCCCACTACACTGGACAATTTTCATCCAGTATCTAACCTCCTCTTTTGGGGGAAGATGGTTGGGAAGGTGGTTGCACAGCATCTTCGGAGGATACTGGGTGAGCTCATCTGTTGTCACGGGGTGAGGTATCAGCAGTACACTGATGATGCCCAATTTTCCATCTCTGCCCCTGGTGAATTAGACAATGCCATGAACAGCTTGGAGGCTGTGAGGGTCTGGATGGGGAACAACAGGCTTCAGCTGAACCCTGGCAGGACTGAGTGGCTTTGGGTTTGGGGGCCTGCCAGTTCTAGGACTATGCCATCTTTGGTGCTGAATGGGTGGCACTGCCCCAGACAGACCCGGTGCGCAGTCTGTGGGTTCTCTGGACTCACGACTCCTGCTCGGAGAGCAGGAGGCAGTCGTGGCTAGGAGGGCCTTTGCACAGCTTCATGTTGTGCGCCAGTTGCGCCTGTTCCTAGAGCGGGAAGCTCTGCTCACATCACTCATGCCCTGGTCACCTCCAGATTGGACTGTTGCAATGCGCTCTACATGGGGCTGCCCTTGAAGACTATTCTGAAGCTTGAACTAGTGCAGAATACAGCGGTGTGGGCAGTTATGTGTGCCCCTAGAGCAGTACACGTTACATCTCTGCCCCACGAATTGCATTGGCTGCCAGTCCACTTCTGGATGCAATTCAAGGTGCTGGTTTTAATCTCTAAAGCCCTTCATGGCATGGGCCAGGTTACCTGAGGGACCGCCTCTCCCCGATTGCATCTGCCCGTCCCATTAGATCTGGCACAGAAGGCACGTTGCGGGTACCATCTACTAGGGACTTAGACTTGGTGGGTCCCAGGAGGTGCACCTTCTCTTCCATAATGCCTGCCTTGGAACAGTCTCCCGCCCAAAGTTAGGTTAGCTCTATTGTGGTTGATATACTCACTCCATGCTTTGTGATTGATATATTTTAATTTTTAATAAGGACCATTTCTATTTTTTATAATTATGTTTATATTGTTGTTTTATTTGATCATTGTATGCTGCCCAGAGTGACTTTTTGTGAGATGGGCGGCCATACAAATTTGACAAATAAATAAATAAAAATAAGATAATAAACCAGACCATATAAAGCCTACTAACAACATACAATTAAATGAAGTAAGTTTAAGCAAAAAATTCTCTGTTTTTGGAAGAATAAAGGAGACCCTGTTGTGGGATTAGATTCCCGAAAGGCCCTCAAGCTTGCATTTGCTAATGGCGTAGCAGGAAGAGCTGACAGTGCCAAGGAGGCTGAGCAAGTAAATGACAGGGCTGTGCCTTGGCCACCAGAATACCAGTCAACGTTCCAGATGTTATCAGTAAATAAATATATTTAAAGTACAATTTAGAAACATTTTTACTGCACTTTTAAAGGGTGGTTATGTTAAGCAGGCAGCCAGCTAGCTAGCTGATTTGTCAACACTTGACTTGTGTTTCAAAGACCATTCCACATAAACTCTGTGCCAGTTAACTTGAAGCCTCAGCCGCCATTATTACTACTACTACTACTACTATTATTATTGCCATCAAGTCAGAAAGACAAGTTAGCTTATGTTAAAGACTCAAAACAATCGAAATGCAAAATGTATACAATTTAAATAATTCTATAAGGAAATATGTTAAAAAGTTTTAGCCACCCCACATCGGTTATCACCTGGGGTCATGAAATGTGGCCTGGCTGAAGCCTGATTTTCAGTGTCTTTCTAAAGCAGAAATGGGATTTCGGGCACTTTAAATTTGGTTCTTCTCTTCATGTCTCCTCTGTTCTGTTTGATTCTCTTCTAACGTCTTCAGATCTACAATGAAGACATCTTGGACCTCTTGGCACCAAGCAAAGAACGGACTTCTCAAATCAGCATTCGGGAAGACCCCAAGGAAGGCATTAAGGTAAGATCATTTATTTATTAATACTTTACTACTTTTAAGGGAGTAACATAAAGCAGGGTTCCTCAACCTTGGCCACTTGAAGATGTGTGGACTGGCTGGGGAATTCTGGGAGTTGAAGTCCACCCATCTTCAAGTGGTCAAGGTTGAGGAGCACTGACATAAAATATCTTCAGAAGCCAGGCCACTACCATCCAATTAATCGTTTTCCCGCAGGTGCCCATCCTGGCCTGGACTCAGAACTAAAGGGGGCTGAGCTTACCCTACGTTTACATGGGGGGCCATCAGAGCTGGAGATGTCTGGTCAGGTCTAGGTTGCAGAAGACTTTACCTTAGCTGTCCCTTGCTCTATTGTAGTACACACAAGCTTGTAATTCTCCAATTTGGAGGACTCTAGAAATTGAAGGCCAGCCCATCACAAGGGTAGTTCTGGAGTAAGGGGGACTGAAACAGGGTGGGTTGGGTTTTTTTGTTTGTTTTGGGGGACATTTTAAGGGGATCCTCCTTTTGGACCCCAAGGTTCCCAAAAGGAAGAGAGTCTCCTGTTCTCCGTGTGATTACGCATAGTAGCTAGTGAGAAGTACGCTTGTCAATGATTGTAATGGATGCCTTCTTCCCAAATGATTGCAAGGGTGCAATCATGGTCTTGTGAATCTCGATGGCTGGAACCTGAAGCAGATCTAGCAAGGGGGGTGAATCCGTATTTTACAAAGTCATAGTCATGGGCCAAAATTCAGCTTGGTGGGTTTCTGAACATGGAGTGATGCCTGCCTCAGGAGAAAGGAAAGTGCCTTTTCTCCTCCTGTTGCCCCAATACAGATTGTGGGTCTGACGGAGCACATGGTGTCCAGTGCGCAGGAGACTGTCCTCTGCCTGGAGCAAGGCAACAACTCCCGAACAGTGGCGGCCACAGCAATGAACACGCAGTCGTCCCGCTCCCATGCCATCTTTACAGTGTCTGTGGAGCAGAAAAGCCAGGCTGACGCGTAAGAAAAGCTTTTGGATCACCAACCTTTTTACAGAGATTGCAGCCTTGGGGCTTTTCTGATAAGAGCAATTCCAGGAACACAAGAGATACTGAGGGACAGAACCCCCCCCCCTTTTTAGTAGTAATTTCATTAAACATTACAATTAAAAAGATAAAAATGAATACAAACTAAGAAAAATAAAAGAATTAAAAAGAAAAAATAGAAAATGCAGAAAATTAAGAAGTAGAAAGAAAAATAGAAAAGAAAAAAATAAAGAAAAGGAATAACTTCCCCTTCATCACAACAAGTATAAACAATTTTAGTAACTTATCACCTTCTCATAAAGTACAACATATGACCTCTTCTTCCCATATCCCATCTCTATAAACATCTATAAACAAATCCTTAAAACCTCATTCAGTCCTAGTCAACAAAAGTCCATTAAGGGTTGTCAAAGATAACATCTATTTTAATCTTGATGGAATAAAGCAACTTTATATTCCTCCCTTTTACTTTTAATGATCTTTAGTCCCTTCAAATAATGTCCTAGAACTTGATTTCTTTTCATTCTTTCTTTGTCCCTTTTTACAAAATTCTTCAAAACTTTAACAAGTCTCTTTTGTAAATCCAATAGAGGAAAGTTGTCCAGGTCACTCTCTTGGTTTGTTATTTGAATATCCCTTTTAATTATTAAGACATCAGCCGGTTTCTTTTGTATATCCAGTGGCGTCTTTTTCCATATCATTCTTATAGGCTGTCATTTTTAAATCCACTGGCTATTCCCTCGTCTCCCAGAGCACTAACCCGCCAGAGACTGCTGTCTTGCGGTCTCCTTGTGAGGAGCAACCATCTGGAGCCCTTGTGGGCGGTCCCAAGTCTTCTCCTTGTCTGGGGAGGAACCCTGAAGAGCCGGTCCCCTCGCTGGCTCTTCATTCTGCCACATTCGTTGGCTCCACACTCAGCAAAGCCATCTTCAGTTCACCATTTCTTCCCCAGAAACAGAAAAACAACCCCTTGTTTCCGCTCCCAAGTTCAGTTCTTGCGGGTTTTCTAATTTAATTAAACTGGGCTCCAGGAGATCTAGTTACTGTTTTAAATACTCTGTAATAAGCCATTTCTCAAATCCCAGCCTTTTCCATTGGTTGCCCTGTGAGTAAACCTTATGCTTCTGGCTCAGGAATGTCAGCTTTCGTTCAAAACTGCACTTGGTTGACCTGGCTGGCTCAGAGAGGCAAAAGAAGACGAAAGCGGAAGGGGATCGCCTGCGAGAAGGTAAAGGGGGAAAGGCGGGCTTGTTTCTTTGGGGGAGTGAAACTGCTAACAATTGGGAGCACAGAGCAACGGCCCTTCGTTTTTCCCTTACGATAAGCCAAGGAAATAGCTGATCTAGCTGGCTTATGTTCCAGAAGGAGGGTGGGCATGACATCCCAGTTGCCCTTTTCTCAAAGGGGTGAAGGTATCGCTCAGAAGGATTGTCTGAGACGAGCCGTTTTCTTCATCGATGTCTGCAGGCATCAACATCAACAAAGGGCTGCTTTGTCTCGGGAATGTCATCAGTGCTCTCGGGGACGAAACCAAGAAGGGCACGTTTGTTCCTTACCGGGACTCCAAGCTGACCCGACTTTTGCAAGGTGAGAGTGGAACGCCAGGCCTGTGTGGGGATGGAGAAGGGATGTATATATAATGTATATTGTGACTTGCTCTTCCTGCCGCAGTAATGCAGCCTAGGGCATTTTAAAAGCCTGCCTCCATTTCAGATTCCTTGGGTGGCAACAGCCACACCCTGATGATTGCCTGCGTGAGCCCGGCAGATTCCAACCTTGAAGAGACATTGAACACCCTCCGCTACGCTGACCGTGCCAGAAAAATAAAGAACAAGCCAATTGTGAACATTGACCCTCAAGCTGCTGAGATCAGCCGGTTGAGGCTGCAGGTAATAAATATGGACAACTTTGCCCATTAGATCAAGGAAGGGAGGTAGTGGGCATTAAAGATGGGCACAGCCGTGAGAATACATTCAGTGTCCCTGCAGATCTTCTCATTGACTGGAACAGGGTCATAACCTTACATTTTTTAAAGAGTTGTAAAATTCTAAAATTCACACCCCTGGTCTCTGCTCTAATCTCCAGGTCCAAGAGTTGCAAGTCTTACTGCTCCAAGCCCATGGGGGAACTCTGCCAGTGTCTCTTCGGTAAGGACTGGTGGTCCCACAGCCCCTGAAGGCTTGACGATTTTCTCTTCCCCCAAGGAAGTCTCCCACCTCCTTTTTCTCTTCTTAAATTCGATTGTGCTGTGTTTCCCTAAGACACGGTTTGTTGTTGGAGGGAAATTAAATTGTCTGCAGTAATGATCTCTCCAACGTAAGTGAATGTTCCTAGTCTCAGCATAAAATAAAGGAAGCCATTTTTAGCCCAAACTGGCCTATGGGTGACCTTTACAGAGCTGTCCTTATTCTCTTCCTGGAACTTCCTTTCCACTCAGGGTGTATCAAGTAGCAGCTTCAAGTATAGGAATGCTTCAGTTTCTGCAGGCGCACCAGAACAGGTCTAATGCTTCTGTTCTGCCCAACGGTAGGGGTGAGCCTGCAGAAAACCTCCAGTCTCTGATGGAGAGAAACCACTCGCTCCTGGAGGAGAATGAAAAACTGAGCCGTGGCTTGAGCGAAGCGGCTGGTCAGGTTGCTCAGATGCTGGAGAGGGTCATTGTGGTAAGGAACAGATTCTGCTTTTGTGAAAAATGCAGCCAGATCCACGTCTTTCCAGGTTTTTATCCCTCCCCTTCCTGTAATCTGGATCAGTTTTCAAGAGACCTTTTTTTGGCTTTCTCCCAGGGTGTAGTAGATGTGGAAGAAAAAGAAATAGCATGTGTCCAAGGCTGACCTGGGCTCCAGGCCAAATCCACCACTTGGGGAACCTGGGAGGTGTGCATGGAGGGTATGTGCGATCTCCTGTTAATATGCATCGTAGACGCTCTCCTGAGTCACAACCCATTTCCCACTTTTGTAGACAGAGCAGCAGAATGAAAGGATCGGCATGAAGCTGGAGGAGCTTCGAGAACATGCAGCGTAAGTACCTGCTTGGTGCACGTGCTTGCAGATCACCTGCTGCATGAGATCCACAGCGATGGCAAGGAATCAGCTGGGTCAAAAATAAGGAAAGGGAGATACACGTTGCTTGGAGCTCTTGGTTTAGGCAAAAAGGAAAAAGAAGGCTCTGGTTGCATGACCTGATCTGTTGCTCTCTCTGTGTGTGTGTGTCTTTCCATCATGCTTTGTTGATGGGGAAATGCTCATAAGAGAAGGGGGAAAAGCGACCCCCACATGCAGTGTCATTGGACAAAATGCAAGCTATCAGCCAACCGCATCTGCAGTGTGGAAAACGTCTCCAAATCTAGGTCTTGACATTTCAGGTTGAAACTCGACCTGCAGAAGCTGCTGGAATCTCTGGAGGATGAAGAACTGAAAGAGCACCTGGAGCTGTTTCGCCATTTACAGCAGATGATCACTCAGCTGCTGGTGAGGGTTATCCAGAAGAACGCGGGTATCTCTGAGGGTAGCACAGCTGTCAGCAGGCTCAGGAGCCAGGCATATCCCAAACGGGGACCTCCTTGAAGGAGATCCCAGACCGGTTCAACCTGCAAAGCAACTTGTTTATTTTATTGTGGGCCACATTTGCTAGTACTGGGTCTAGGGGTGGAAGGTTCAGTGAAAGCTGAAGCGTGCTGTCCTGCGGGCCAGAGGTCAGTCTGGTCCATCTTCAGTCCTCACCGTAGTGACAGAGGCACATAAGTAAGACCAGAGGCCCAGGAGTCATGCTCCAGATGGGACATAGAGGCATCAAGACTGCCTGCCAACGGTGGTCTTATCTTCCGTTAAGTCCTTCCAAGGTGATGGCCGTTAGCGCATCGTGTTGAAGCGAATCCTGTAGCATTATATGAAGAAGATATTTTTCTCTTGTGGAGGGGAAACAAGGCGCTCTTTTAGGGACATTTTATTTCCCTTGAGCTTTGCATCTAACTGTCCCGGGCTTGTGAGGTTTTCCAAAGTAGATAAAGAACAGAATCAGGGTCGAGCAAGTAGCATTCTGCAAAGGGAGTTGCTGGCCAGGTCTTTCCCTGCAGTCCAGCACTTCTAACCTGAGAGAGGGGAAAAAATGTGCTATATCAAAGAGATCTTTCATTCTTGAATCTTCATATGGTTCATCTTTGTTAGATGATCCAGAATTCCAGTATTTAAGGAAGTCTAGAAAAATTGCAACCTACTTACCCATCGTGTAATATTTGCGGTTACTCTACAAACACATCCATGTTGTTTTCTTGGGAGCAAGACAATGCCCCCGCTCTCTTCTTTTTTGGTAAAATTATTTGCAGCAAACAGGAAGGTGTGGGGACCGTGGTATTTGGCAACCTAAACTTCGTGTTTTCTACAGAATGAAAATTCTCCTGCTATCGCTGACATGGACGTGACACAGCAGAATTCTGATCCTGTAAGTAAATATTGACAGAGTTTGCTTCATCTGGTTTGTTTGCTGGCTTGAATTACTTTATTTTTAACCAAATGGATGCTTGTCTGGCAGAATATATATCGCTGCTCCATTTCAATTAATTGTACAAAGAATTGTGCAAATTGGAATTTGAAGTCTTGAAGTACTTTGCAGGTGATTTTGGTAATTGGTACTTATTGTACAAGTTCCACAGGTCCACTTGCCTTGTCCGCCTTGGCTTTAAATTGGTTAAATACCATATAATGTATCTTTTACAGATTCTATTAGTAGCTTAAAGTAAACTGGAAAGTAAAGAGAAAAGCTCCGACACGTCCTGTTTCTTGGGAAATTTGGTTTAAAATCGCGGCATCTTGATTTTCACTTTGCAAGTGTTGAGCAAGTTGCGGGAGGAAAGCCATGTTAGTCCGTGGTAGCTAAAAGTCAGGAGGAGTCTGGTAGCATTTTTTCAGCTGAACAAATGGTCTGAAAAGCTTAACTCGCGAAAGCTGCTGCCTTTTATTAAGTGTGTTACTCTGTAAAGGTGCTACCAAACTCCTCTTCATCCAGGAACACAGCGAGGTTGTTCACAAACCCAATGATGTTCTGATGACATGAATTTAAACTCTTCTGCTGTCTGCACCAAGATCTCTTTGAAGGATTGAATGAAGATGTTTTTTTCCTTTTCTTTTTAAATAAAGAATATGCAGGGCAGAAAGGGAGACAGCATTTGCTCTTTTGTCCCCAGCCCTATCGCTGAGTCTGGCTCACCATTTTCAGGAGGTGTTCGCTCTCTTGGTCTCTCTAGGGTTCACCTTCAGGAGAAAGAGGGGGCACGGCGTGTTTTGCTTTGCATTGTTTTCATTAGAGCGCTAACGTTATTCACCACCACCGTCACCCCCTTCTCTCTTCTTCAGGCCTCTGCGACAGAACTGGAGGCCCCGCAGTCTTCGGAAGACTTCGCTGCTCAACATGCTCTCCAGCAAGCTCAGATGTCGAAGGAGCTGCTAGAACTCAACCAAGCCCTCGCGCTCAAGGAGGCTCTGGCTCGGAAGCTGTCCCAGAGCGACCGCCAGCTGGAACCCATCCAGTGCCAGTCCCAAGTAAGGGCTGTGGGCAGCACCACCAGACCCAGCGGGCCAGGGCGTGGGAGCACAGCCCCCGGGTGGCATTTTGCCAGGCCCAGCTTTTTGCTGGCTGCTCAGAAGTGGATCTGGAGCACAAAGTGTGTGTGGGGAGTGGGGGTGCTGACTAGTGCAGAATAGAAAGGAATTTTAACTCTGGGTGATTTGGAAACTCTGCTTCTGTTGATGCACCATAAAAGTGCACTGATCTTTTTAGAGATTCCCTCACACTGCTGGCTGACATTCAGCTTGTGATCAGCCCCTATCCTTTTTGCACCTAATGTTCACAAGCTGGGCATCCCCCATCCTGCTCCTTGGTGTTTGATTTCTTTTTCTCTCTGCAAAGCCTCTTTTGAGCTTCCATTAGGGTTCCCTATCAGAATCACAGGAAACATCTTGCTAATCAAGAGGCATGAGCAGGGGGGTGAGGCTGGTTGGCCATTGGAAGTAGCCCTCTGGGCTGCGGCATTTGAGCAGTTTGACTTGAAAACTTGCCCCCCCCTCCCCCCCGTTGAAAGAAGCTAAGTTGCCTTTTCCTTTTGACAAGATCAACATCACGAACCTAGAAGTGGAGGTTGCCAAGCTCCAGAAAGAGAAGGAAGACCTGGTCCTCACACTTCAGATGACCAAGAAAGATGTCACTCAGGCCAAGTAAGAAACACAGGTTCCTGGGCTTAGCCGTTAGGGAAGGGACTCTGAAATGGGTCCTGCACTCAGACCGCCTGGCTCCAATCTCCTTTCAGGCTGAGTGAACGTCGCCGGAAACGTCTCCAGGAGCTGGAAGGGGAGATGACCGACCTAAAGAAGAAGCTGAAGGAGCAGTCAAAGCTTCTGAAAATGAAAGAATCCAGCGAGCAGACAGTGTGCAAGCTCCACCAGGAGATTCGGGTAAACAACATTGAAATAAGAAGGAGCAAGAAGGAGCCGCAAAAGTTTTAGAGCTGAGACTGTGGGCTGGTTGGCTCTGGGCTGATCCTGCAGCTGTGTGGTTGGCATTTCCTTAGGGTGCTAGAAAAACATCTTGGGATAATATTAGGAAAGCAAATGCATAGATGTATGTAGTATATATGCGTGCATGTATGACATACAGAAACATTTGGAAACTTGATCCTTTAATTATGGAAAATGAAGGTGGTTAGTGATATAATCAGTTCCCAAAGGTTGCCTGTACAGTGTGAGGCATCCTGGTCCTGTCAGTCCTTTAAGAATGATTTCCTGAACTTGTCAGAACTAGAACTCAATTCACCATTCCCACAGACTATTTTTCCAAAAGCTGTTTTTTCTTCTTCATGTTCTGCTTGCAGGCAATGAAAAACCAACGCATTCAGCTGATTCGGCAGATGAAAGAAGATGCTGAGAAATTTCGGCAGTGGAAGCAGCAGAAGGACAAGGAAGTCATCCAGCTGAAGGCCCAGGTGAGTTGGATATTGGTCATTTTCACAGAAAAGCATCCTCCTTCAAATCAGCTCTCCTAGCACAGAGGGTGACTGCCTGCCTGCATCTAGGGGGTTTATGTTTGAAATGTAGAGGTTAATCATCTTGGACCAGTGTTTCTCAACCTCAGCGACTTTAAGAGGTATGGACTTCAACTCCCAGAATTCCCCAGCCAGCATGGCTGGCTGGGGAA